ACACACACACACACACGAACGCCGGGGTCGTCGCAATATGCGTTTTTGCAAAAACGCATAAAAACGAGTAGAATGTGCAAAAGTTTTTGTTTCAAGTGTTTAACAAAGGGACACCGAGCAAAGCAGTGCTCCAAGAAAATGCAATACTACCGATGCCAAAAAAATCACAATGTAATTTTTTGCAATTCAAAGCAGCAGTAAAGACAGGAGAATGTTGGAACAGTTAGTCGAGCACCAAAATCAAACGATAATGAGCTGGTCAAAGTGGCTGATAGAAAGAAATCCAATGCAGTGATGGTCTCCACAGTGTTTCGAAGAGAATTCAGTAACGCCAAAGGGAGAAGCAAGGTAACAGTTCTGTTGCTGTGCGGGGAGGTAATAATTGCAAATTCAAATCATCCGCAGCAGATACAGAAAGTGACAGTATTTTTCGACGTTGGCAGCCAGAGAAGCTTTATTTCTGAGGATATTGTCGACAGAATGGGACTGCGAAAGAAGCAGATGGAAGAAATTTTTATGTTGGGATTTGGCTGCAAGAAAGCCTACGGCATTTCACATCTCTAGTGTCACGTTTGATCTGCTGTTGAGTAGCGGCTGTACTAAGAAGATTATCGTCAATACAATGGCGTTTTTGACAAAAAGACTGCAAGTCGTTGAAATTGATGAAGAAAATACGAAGCATCTCCATGAGGCATATGGAAATGTTCTAAACGTGCCAACAGTTTGGCAAGAGCCGAATTTGATAATTGGATCCAATTATTATTTCGATTTAATTAAATTAGTAGCAAAACTGAAATCTGGATTTCGTCTCATTGATTCGACAGTGGGAATCGTGATTGCCGGTGGAGATGAAATATAGAGGACAAAGATTCTAGCTCTCAACTCATCATATCGGCCTTATAAAATTGCACTGAGAATAAATATAAGCAGCGGGAGTAAAAAATCAATATCATGCTCGGAATCGCGCTAGACCGAAGATTATTTGAGCGTCTTTATATAGCGTCAGCATGAATCCACCTATCTTGAGCGAGTGACCAAACAAACTGCCTGAGAAATAAGCGGATTGTTGGATCATGGATGGAGCGGTATCATGAGTGCTGTGAATGATGTGCAATGTTCCAGCTATAGAGTCCGTGTTGTTTTAAGTCACATTATGAAACTAAACTTGGCTAAAACTGAACACGACGCTGTAGCTCTGAACAAAAAGAGAATAGAAGCGGGATTTCAGAAATTTACCAAATAAAATCAAGCATTTTACTTTCCGTATTCTCAGGAAAAATAAAATAGAGGGACATCTAAAGTAAGTACACGCAGACACTCATGCACGAAATGCAGTCACTGTGATGACCAGAAATGTGGCCACCCGGAAATTGATTTCTTCAATTTTACACAAGTGCAGACACATAGTTATATGAGTAAGTTGCATGCAAGTGTACTATTTACTGAATGAAAAGATAATGACGCAGCGCAATCAAGTTTACGATCAGAAATTTTAATTAGGGAATTTCAGGTTTCGTCTTTTTTATTCTGAAGTTTTGAAATTTGTCTGAAGGCGAAATCAAACATCACGCTTAGGGTAGCCTGCGGACCGGCTACAGGACCAAAAGCGCTCACATGGATAGGAACTTTTCCACAAATTTTATTTTCCCAGTTTCCGTCGTTGAAATATCACATCAGATAAAGAAGTACATGTATTTTTGCGCTACATCGGCGATGAAAAAGCGAGCAGAAACCGCTGCTTGCTCTGCAATAAATAAGCGGTAGAACTTGCAAGGCGATATGAAATTTACTAAACGCAGAAAATTAATTTCATCTACAACATCGCTATTTTAGGCGTCGAATTCTTTTTCTCGAACTTTGTTTGCGGTTCGCATACAATACTATCTTTTTACAGGTTGCTAGACCAGAACAAAGGAAGTCCGACAGCACAGCCGTAAATACTCAAGTATGCAGCAAATATCATCGTATTGCTCTCACATCATTGTTTTGCATAAGCATCACTGTGTTATAAATGTGAATGGTAGCAGTGTCTGTCGTCAAACACAAACAACTCGCACAACAAATGCATACAGACAGGCAGACACACATACATTTCAAGAAGAAAATCTTGGCATGGAGAGACAAGTGCAGGAGAGCACGCTGGTACTTAGTGCAGGCAAAAGTAACTAACAGTACACAAATGTTTCAGAATAGATGGAAAACGCGCAATGTCATCCTGCATTCTGTGAACCATGTTGGGACTCGACGTATATTAGAAAATAACTCGGGCTGAAACACACCATTTTGCTCTATTCCATGCTGCAGCAAGATCGCAAAGAATCAGAATAGTTTGAACTTGTAACACAGTGGCCCCCAAAGTGGAGGAAGTTAACTGTGCAGCAATGCGGCATGTCAGTTGTAGGTGTCGACTTCAGTGACCCAACAAATGGAAACTTGCTGGTCCGCAAAAAAGACCCCACTAGAAAAGTTGAATTTGAAATCTTTTATTTGCACATGAGTAGGGTACATTCCCTTAAAATTAAAGCTTGTCAATTTTTCTCGTTCCCGAGTTAGCAGTTTTCCCGCCAAAATTTTTACTTGTCTGCACGTGAGCCCCGGGCGATTCTAAGAAACTGAATTTGAAATGTTTTAGTCATACATGGGTATGAAACATCTCCCTACAGTTTTTTCCTTTCAGTTTTTCTCGTTCCTGAGTTAGCAAAGAATCCGTTAGCAAAATTTCAATGTTGAAGCTTGCTTGATTGTTGAGTTAAAATAAACGGACTGACACACATACATGAAGTGGACGCATGGGGATGAAGTCAGCCGTCGCTTCCGTGAGGTTTTGAAGGTAAAAAAATAGAGGTATAACTGTTGTGTACAGTTGCAGTCTGCAAGAGGCAACACTATGGAATTACCTGCAATTCTTGTACAAATCCTGTCGAACTTTTTACCCTTAGCTTCAACTAAGCATAAGCTTCATAAATGCGGGAACAGCTTGCTGAAGATGGGTTTTTGTAAGACAGTTCTTACATGCATTAGCCCAGTTTTTGTTTTCTTTTTCCTCTTTTGCTTTTGTTTGCAGGCTCTAATTCTTTAATTTCGGTTTTTATGCGTTTTTGCCTATATGCAAATTGCAAAAACGCATACTAAGACGACCCCGTCTGTGCGTGTGTGTGTATGTATGTGTGTGTATAATTGCATGTGTGTGTATTCGTCTGTCCGGGTATTTCAACTCGGCAACCAAGCAAGTTCCAGCGCGGACATTTTGCTAATGGGTATCCCGGCCAAGTACCACCCCAGGACCGCGGTACCATCGCTTAGGCCTCGCGCACAAGAGGGGGAAAGTTTTGGCGGGAAAATTGACAACTCGGGAACGCGAAAAGATAGGAAGCTGAAATT